TCCCCCCCCCCCCCCCCCCCCCCCCCCCCCCAGTCAACACCCTGCGGAGTATCCAGCTATTCATACCATGCAATCTAATTTGTTACTTTGCTGAAAAGACACAGATAGATTCAGCACAGGGTAGATTTTTTTTCTGCGAGAAAATTAGACTTTTTCTGTAAAATGCGAATGAATTTATTAAACAGGATTGAGAAAATTTGATTTTAGGGGCAATCATTTAAGGGTGACTTGTCACATATTATTTGGGGCTGAAAGAAACACTGGAATTAACATTTGATCTCTACCTGGAATTGCTAGGTGAGTCCAGCTTCTCAGTCTTTGGTGTTTTCACCTGCAGTGAGAGACAGATCAAAGCTCAGCAAAATGGTGAAACACACTAACTGTCCAGGACCTCCTTGAGATGGGACGCATGCTAATCTGGGCATTTTGCTCAAGGGCAACTCAGCCATGAATAGAATGGGACAGGGCGCTATTTTTTTCAGCATATTCTGAATTTTGCAGGCGCTTACATGGCTTTGAGCAACCGGAATATTGTTAGTTTGGGGTTTGAAAGGATTAGTGCCTGCGTGTAAACATAGTCACAGTCGAAAACGAGTGTGATTTACCTTCTTGTCCTTTCCATTAGGAGTTGTCTCTGTAGATTTTGTTGGCTCTGCACTTCAGGTCAAAAAGAAAAAAGAAGAGAAAATGCAAGCTTTGTGTGCAGTGTATAAAATACAAGCATGGACCTGAATAGATGGATTAAAAACTCGCTTTAACTTGACTTATTGGCCCGTTTTATCTGTCTGTCTTCTTTTATAAAAGGAGCCAAAGCAGTTGTAAGGCTCGTGTCTTGACCCGGTCGGTATTCGAATCAGACAATGTAGTAAAATGCCACCAATTAGGGAAGCAGTGTTCCAAAAGTTCCCATTCAGATCTTTCATGTTTCCTCTCTGTCTAACCTTTACACACTTGAGAAGCAAGACACCGGGTTGAAATTATGACCCAGTGCCGTCACTGTATTCTTATGAGAGAATTTTTTTTTTTTTGAAAGGGCCGCATATATGAACATATTGACAAAAATCAGTTCTATATCACTGAAGAAAGCAAAGCAATCATAAATAAGCAATTCTGTCAGGGTGTGATATGGGGGTGGGGGGTGGCGGGGGGGGGGGAATGCTAGCTGGTTGCAATGGGTAAAAGCAGGTGTCTATTAAATGCTAAAATATTATATGAGTGACGTCATGCATGTGACCATGACGTCTCTGATCAACTGGTGAAAGGAGACTTCTAATCACACCATTTTCATTTATAACTGCTTCAAGCAAGAATGTCATCCTCTTAAAATTATGGGTCCATGTAATGTTTTTCATTTTTTCAGAAAAAAAAAGAAAAACTGAACCACATTCTGATCAGCTTTTATGCATTAATAATTTCATTTCAGGCATAGAACTGAATGATCTGTTTCACTAAGGACATAGCAGAAGGTGGCCAGCATCCTGAAGAGATGTTTAAGGCAAAAAAAAAAGACAAAACACATGTCAAATATGACTTGGGTGGAAAAAAATACTTTGGGTTCTTTCTTTTTTTTTTTATTTTTTTTAATGTTTCTACTATTGTTTGTTCTACTAATGTTTTATTTCATGTGTTCTATAAAGTGCTTAGTTACAGCTGCAGCTGTTGCGAAAGCGTTACGGAAATGAACTTGAGATGGGTTACTACGGTATGTGCTGCTGTCAATTACAAAAAATACTGCCAGGTAATGCCTTGTTCACTTGCATTTGTTTGCTCACAAATACAAGAAAATACAGAAAATGCATCGGATATCAAGGTAAATCCGAATTAAAATGGAGCACTGTGACTGTACGATGGATTGTACTGTGGCTATAGAGTAGAGCAAGCAAACACTGTCAGCTAACTTTGGATATATTTTGGAGTTCTATTGAATGAGAAACGGTGTTCAATTCCTTTTACTCTTAGCACATATCAGATGTGTCCTTCATTTGCATAATATGCACTCAGGCGGCATGTGTGTATTGCGCATTTGCCTCACTTTTAATTGTTCTAGGTTTGAATCTCTTTTAAAACGTTGCAGTGTTTTTGATCCATGTCCAGTTTATCATTATTAGTAGTTGTAGTAGTAGTCGAAGGAGGAGGAGTGGTCGTTGTATTTTCGTTAAACATTGTGATAATGATGTTGGATGACTGCACAGGTTAATGCAGTTATCATAAAAGAATTGTCAAATGTCACGGGGGACTTCACTGTACATATTTGTGGTAAATACTCAACTCACGTGCTATGAATAGTGTCACCTTCGGCTCCAGCAAGCTCATTGTCGTTTAGCCTCTTGTTCAATTGAGAGACTTTGTGCTTGGCCTTCCGGCTTTCTGCCACGTCCTTCTCTCGCCCCATTTCTCACAAGTTCCTTCGACAAACAGATAACATGATAAGTGAATTAACAGGTCAAGAAAACTCCACGAATTACGTCATTTTTTTACCGTTCAGTCGCACGAGGATAAGCACGTCTTCAATGTTAGCCAATTAACACAAACTAGTCAATTCCATCCAGCTGCAGGTTACCTACAGACTGTAGGCTACAGTACTTAATAAAATGATGGGGTGTCACGTACAAAATTATTGTATACACCCGATGGTGCGAAAGAAACGTCCAGCGTTTTTCTACACACTTGAAAATACAAGATATAAGCTAAAATGTACACAAACTTTTCACGTTGGTTGAATCACGAAAGCGAGGAATTAATGCTGCATTCAAGGACAGTAGGAAATCGAAAATTTTAGACCTTTAAAAAAAAAATCTTTATTATCGCAGAAAACAAGTACAGGACAATATACTATGTTCATTAAATTAACACGTTTGAAACATGAAATAACAGTATACTAGTGCACAACATAGAAAACCAACAAGAACAACAATGCCAGGTGTTTCATATACATTCCAATGAATTGAAAGTTTTACAAGTATTTCAAATTTTCTGGGAAATTTCTGACCTCCAACCAGGAAAAGTGCACCGATCGTCACACAAACTGTGAAATTCAAAAGTCGCAAAATTGAAGAAAAAAATATGTACCCCATTTTAATCGAGATGATTCAATCTGAAGTGCCTCGACAATGACGATCCCAAACTGAAACACACCGTGTAAAGCAAAATATAAATTACAATATTATAAATATCTATCAATGTATCTTTATTGATATTATATTAATTTCGTTATTCGACATAACGTCATGCAACACTACGCGATTTGTACTGACTGCTTGAAGATATTCCGATTATTAAAGGCACGAAGTTATTGGGTGAAAAGTATGAAATGTTTATGAAATAAAAATGCATCAGATATCAAGGTAAATTCATATTAAAATGGTGCACGGTGACCATACGGTGGTATACTGACACTGTCAACCACCACATCACAGTAGAGCAGGCAAAAACTGTCACTGTCAATTTGAACATATTATATAGATTAAACAAATTATGAAAGTAGGTTTGTTGGAAGTCAAAATGCGTTTTGAGGGAATGTAGCAATCAATTGTTTGCATTCGCCTGGAACGCTTTTACCTCGCAACTGGTACAGTCCAAGCGGGATCTTTCTTTGTCCCATGGCCAGCATCCTGAAGAGATGTTTAAGGCAAAAAAAAAAATACAAAACACATGTCAAATATGACTTGGGTGGAAAAAAATACTTTGGGTTCTTTCTTTTTTTTTTTATTTTTTTTAATGTTTCTACTATTGTTTGTTCTACTAATGTTTTATTTCATGTGTTCTATAAAGTGCTTAGTTACAGCTGCAGCTGTTGCGAAAGCGTTACGGAAATGAACTTGAGATGGGTTACTACGGTATGTGCTGCTGTCAATTACAAAAAATACTGCCAGGTAATGCCTTGTTCACTTGCATTTGTTTGCTCACAAATACAAGAAAATACAGAAAATGCATCGGATATCAAGGTAAATCCGAATTAAAATGGAGCACTGTGACTGTACGATGGATTGTACTGTGGCTATAGAGTAGAGCAAGCAAACACTGTCAGCTAACTTTGGATATATTTTGGAGTTCTATTGAATGAGAAACGGTGTTCAATTCCTTTTACTCTTAGCACATATCAGATGTGTCCTTCATTTGCATAATATGCACTCAGGCGGCATGTGTGTATTGCGCATTTGCCTCACTTTTAATTGTTCTAGGTTTGAATCTCTTTTAAAACGTTGCAGTGTTTTTGATCCATGTCCAGTTTATCATTATTAGTAGTTGTAGTAGTAGTCGAAGGAGGAGGAGTGGTCGTTGTATTTTCGTTAAACATTGTGATAATGATGTTGGATGACTGCACAGGTTAATGCAGTTATCATAAAAGAATTGTCAAATGTCACGGGGGACTTCACTGTACATATTTGTGGTAAATACTCAACTCACGTGCTATGAATAGTGTCACCTTCGGCTCCAGCAAGCTCATTGTCGTTTAGCCTCTTGTTCAATTGAGAGACTTTGTGCTTGGCCTTCCGGCTTTCTGCCACGTCCTTCTCTCGCCCCATTTCTCACAAGTTCCTTCGACAAACAGATAACATGATAAGTGAATTAACAGGTCAAGAAAACTCCACGAATTACGTCATTTTTTTACCGTTCAGTCGCACGAGGATAAGCACGTCTTCAATGTTAGCCAATTAACACAAACTAGTCAATTCCATCCAGCTGCAGGTTACCTACAGACTGTAGGCTACAGTACTTAATAAAATGATGGGGTGTCACGTACAAAATTATTGTATACACCCGATGGTGCGAAAGAAACGTCCAGCGTTTTTCTACACACTTGAAAATACAAGATATAAGCTAAAATGTACACAAACTTTTCACGTTGGTTGAATCACGAAAGCGAGGAATTAATGCTGCATTCAAGGACAGTAGGAAATCGAAAATTTTAGACCTTTAAAAAAAAAATCTTTATTATCGCAGAAAACAAGTACAGGACAATATACTATGTTCATTAAATTAACACGTTTGAAACATGAAATAACAGTATACTAGTGCACAACATAGAAAACCAACAAGAACAACAATGCCAGGTGTTTCATATACATTCCAATGAATTGAAAGTTTTACAAGTATTTCAAATTTTCTGGGAAATTTCTGACCTCCAACCAGGAAAAGTGCACCGATCGTCACACAAACTGTGAAATTCAAAAGTCGCAAAATTGAAGAAAAAAATATGTACCCCATTTTAATCGAGATGATTCAATCTGAAGTGCCTCGACAATGACGATCCCAAACTGAAACACACCGTGTAAAGCAAAATATAAATTACAATATTATAAATATCTATCAATGTATCTTTATTGATATTATATTAATTTCGTTATTCGACATAACGTCATGCAACACTACGCGATTTGTACTGACTGCTTGAAGATATTCCGATTATTAAAGGCACGAAGTTATTGGGTGAAAAGTATGAAATGTTTATGAAATAAAAATGCATCAGATATCAAGGTAAATTCATATTAAAATGGTGCACGGTGACCATACGGTGGTATACTGACACTGTCAACCACCACATCACAGTAGAGCAGGCAAAAACTGTCACTGTCAATTTGAACATATTATATAGATTAAACAAATTATGAAAGTAGGTTTGTTGGAAGTCAAAATGCGTTTTGAGGGAATGTAGCAATCAATTGTTTGCATTCGCCTGGAACGCTTTTACCTCGCAACTGGTACAGTCCAAGCGGGATCTTTCTTTGTCCCACTGTTATGCAATGCAGCATTAGTGTCATGAAATCTCAAGTGAATTGTGATTGGCTCGGGGATTGGATCGCCAGATTGGACACAGGTCAACAATTTACCTTTGTTTACAAGAAACTATAGCATTTGTTAGCATACTTAATGCTAAGTTTCGAGAGTTGAGGTTTATGTGAATAAAACACATTGATTTTGTTCATTTTGGTAGGCTGATGGCAATTTGCATAAATTAATAAAAATACTGAAGTTACACCATTTCCTTGTTCTAATGGAGGAACAGCTGTGAGTATCTTGTGAGGTATGGAAATATTAAAAGGCAATAGTAATGCCAGAATGTATTGGGAGGAAAGAAGTATTAGTCCGAAATATAACTTGAAAATTGAAAACTAGTGCATCTGCAATCAGAATTGTTTGAGAAGAGCTTTTTATTATTATTACTATTATATATTTTTAAAGAAATATTTTTAGACATATTGGTGGATATGTATACAGTACCGAAGGCTTACAACGAATTAAACCCATTGCCATTTTTGGATCATATTGTTTGGTGCTTCCAACCAATCAATCAATCAGTAGGGCCAGCATGGAGGAAATCTATGACCACAATACCACGGGATCCTAATTAAAGTTTATAAATTTTCATCGATACGCAAATAATGATTCCATTTCAAGGGAGTCCCATTCATCGAAAAGACTGACGTCACAATGAAGTGTACTGTCATTTTAAGAAACCCGGAAATAGTTACTTTTACGTGATCAATGTTTGTGTCTCCAAACGAGCTCTGATCCCACCCAGCAATGCTACCCCAACCTCTTATGTGTGCTTTTCGTGGCACACTGAAGAGTTGGCGACACCGGGCTGTCCTAAAAGCTGCTTTTGGGGCGTTAGACTTCGGCAACTGCCGTTGGTTGTCTTCGCCAACAAGCGGAGCCGTTTCTGGTATGGAGGAAATTTTGGCGAGAGTCGTGTCACCTTTACCCACATACGAAACAAGAGAGAAATCTCCCCCTCCTCCAGAAGCCAACAGCTTGGAGTTCATGCATTTCTACAGAAGTCTCGACAAGGGAGATAAACTGGATTTCCTGGCGAGGCTGTCGCGTGACTTTGGAGTGGACCATAAAAGCGTTTCGGAGTTCGCTGGGAAGCTTCTGCACACCCAACTCAGGGACTTGGCGACCATTTTGCAGGTTGAGGATAGACTTCGATACAGCTTGACCCCCCGCTATAAACAGTTACTTAACCACATAAGCAGGGTGGAAGGGGGAGTGAAGTTTCTGGTGGACCTTAGAGCCGACGTGCTTGACATCATCTCATCAAAAAGTAGCGAGAGCCCGGACTTGAGGGTAAACCATGTTCTGTTTGTTGACATTTTCTACGGGTGCTCGCATGAGTCAAGACATACCCATCATATGTTGTTGAAGTGTGAGTTGGGAGGGTATAGTGAAGTGTTAATTGATTTAAATACAGTATCCGAGTGTATCTTGACACACCAATATAGATAACATTTGGGTGGGGGGCATTTAACCCACACAGACGTCATTGACCAAACCATAGCCCACTCGCGTGTTTCACATTTCAAAGCGCATTGCCACAATGCCCTTTACCCCACTTCCAGTTTGCTGTCCTCATAGAGGCTTTCACTAGTAAGCATGCCCAAATATTTTGCTAGATCGAAGTCTGCTCTAACCCCAGCCACTATTTTTTTTCTCATAACATAATGAGTCTGGACTCTATGGGTTCATTACAAACCTACAACACAAAACACTGCATTTACTGGAAATGCATGGATATAATTGGTTTATTCCAGTCAAAAGTCATCTAGTGAAACGCTAAATTAGTTTAAAGGCATGCATGCCCAATTTGGTCAAAGTCAAACTCGATAATACAAAGTGATTACCTACCTACGTTAAAGTAAATTATGGTCTCGATCATAATTTGTAGAGTACATTGCAGCCTGATTTGGGTTTAAATTTCACAAACTCTCCGTGTTTACATGTCAAAATGTATTACTCAAGATAACAGTAGTCATTCGCAATCAAGCAATGACACTTTGTGAACCTTAATATTTAATTTATATTTCTACATCTGTATGCTTACTTTGTCTCTTGCTTGTAGGGCAATAACATGGGATTTCCTCTCATCTCTAGCATCACTTATTTGGTACATGTATTGGTTTATGTCATTCACTTATCTAGTGTTCACAGCCTTACATTAGATACAAGACTTCTGGCCATTTAAATACTATATTTTAGAAAACAAGTTAGATTAATATAATCCCAATAATAATCTTGTGTGTGTGTGTGTGTGTGTGTGTGTGTGTGTGTGTGTGTGTGTGAGAGAGAGAGAGAGAGAGAGAGAGATTGTGTGTGTAACTTACATAAGGTCAGTGCTACCTACAATATCCACACTTTTATTATACTGCTAATGGCTTTGCTGTCTGTGGTCTTTGTAAATTTTAAAAGGAGGGAGAGAGGGGGGAAAATGCCATTTTAGAGTAATCTCACAACAAGAATTGACATTCTAACTAAATTTGCAGGCGTCTGATCAACTATATTAGTGACGTCAATGAGTGGTGTGGGTTACATTAGTGTCAAGCTGGCTATTTTTGCCCCGTACTAACACGATCCTGCAGTGGATCTGTGGCACCCATCTTACTGGGGTAAAGGTATCAGCATACTGATGTGGTCATTTGGATTCTTTTAAGATTACTGAGGTGACCTTTGCTCTAATGCTCCCAATGTTACTGTGACACACAGCACGACTGAAGGTGTGCAGAGCTTGCTAATGATATTATTAAACCAGTAGCCATCCAATGGATCTGTTTACATTCCACTGAGTGAGTGCCTGAGTGTGGGTTCATGAACACATCAGTTTGTGTGTCTGCAAGATATTTGCTATAACTGTCTGACCTTTTAAGGGCATCCGCCCTACGCTAAAATGGTAAGTTGCTGATTGAAGATGATTCTGAGTAAACATTACAAGCTCAAAAACATCATTACTCATAATGTGGGAAAACTCAAACAGCATACAGACATCAAGGGACCACACAGCTCTCAATGGGTCCAAGGATGTAACCAGAATTCAGTAACTCTGCTCAGTCACAATACCATATGTGGGGATTCTTTCATTAAAATGGATGATTTTGGTTGCCCTGTAGCTTGTCAACGTGTAAATTATGAGGAGATTACTCCAGTTTTCTGGTTTCAAGTATGAAATTCTTCATGACTCACTATCCTCTCTCTTAGGACCTGAATGGAACTCTGAAGAGCTTGCTGTCCGAATGGTTCTCTGTAGGTCTGCTCCGACTAGAGCGGATCACCTGGCAGTCACCCTGTGAGATCCTCCAAAAGATCAGCCAGTAAGGCACCAAATGTTCATTCATTCATTCATTTTCCGAACCGCTTGATCCTCACCAGGGTCGCGGAGGCACCAAATGTGATTCTTCAAAATGTTATTTTCCCACTCTTTTATAAACAAATGTTTCAACCTGAATCAAGCAGAATAGCTTGGAAAATGAAAAATGTAATTACAAATCCTCTGTCAGGTATGAAGCGGTGCACCCTGTTAGGAACTGGGCTGATCTAAAACGCAGAGTGGGGCCATACCGTCGTTGCTATGCCTTCACCCATGCTGCCATGCCCGGGGAGCCTCTGGTCGTGCTGCATGTTGCCCTCACAGAAGAAATCTCAGATAACATACAGGTTAGAAGGGACTGTTTAGGAGAATGTCTCTCAATTTTCCACAAAATAAAAGCTAGTGGGAATTTCTCATTGTTGTTCCTCCTGAATATCAATCACTGAGTCACTGTGCTCTACAAGCACAACTATTTGGCTTACATTTGAGTAACTCCAGCAGTGTTGACTTGAGAAAATAGCCACCATGTCAGCAAGCTCACATATTTTGCTGTTTGCATGAATGTTGTCTGCTTACAGTTAATTTATATTTATAAAATGAATGAAAATAAAACAAACATCAAAAAGGCTCAGATTGTGAGGTCTTAGCTTGCCAAATTATTTTTCTAAATCATCTTTGTGACATGGAGAATTTTAATGCAAACTGTGGTCCCTCTCTTAGAGTATTGTTCGGGAAATTTCCATCCTTGACCTGGAAGAAGATGTAAACAAGGTGAATGCAGCGGTCTTCTACTCCATTTCATCCACCCAAACTGGTCTACAAGGTGTTGAGCTGGGAAATTATCTCATCAAGAGGGTGGTCC